ACAGTGAATCAATTACTGAGAAAAACCAGAAGCCGTCTGTGTGGATAGGTCTCAATTAGACACCAGCCACTGGAAGAGCTTTCTCTGAGACTGAAAATTCTCCACTAGATATGGCTGCAAAGTGCGCACCCTCATGGCATCAGGGAGAAGCCTGCGGCAGTCCTGGGTCAGACCTGCCACGGTCCATGGTGACCCCAGGAACTCAACTTGGACATCAAGACTGTGATCCTGAGACTTGGCACATGAACTTCAGGATGTTCAGCTGCCCGGAGCAGTCGGACCCCATCCAGGCTCTGAGGAGACTCACTGAGCTGTGCCACCTGTGGCTGAGGCCCGACCTCCACACCAAAGAGCAGATCCTGGACATGCTGGTGATGGAGCAGTTCCTGATCTCCATGCCACAGGAGCTCCAGGTCTTAGTCATGATGAACGGGGTGCGGAGCTGCAAAGAGCTGGAGGACCTGCTGCGGAATAACGGAAGACCCAAGAAATGGGTGAGTAGGACCCTGGTGGTTGGTGCAGGGAAGGGGAGCTGGGCTGGGCCTGCAAGGTGCAGCCGGACTGGAGAGGACACGAGGGGCTGCCCTAGGTCAGGGCTTCCAAGTAGAGGAGAGTTTGCCCATCAGGGACACATGGCAGTATCGGGGGACATTATTTGGTTGTCACAAGCTAGACATTCTCCAACGCTCAGGACAACCCACGGTGACAAATACTCATCCAGCTTCAAATATCAGCTGTGCTGAGATGGCACATCGCTGGTCTAGGAGAGGGACAGGCAGAGGGGACCCAGGGACCCACGCCCTGTGTGAGGCCAACATGAAACAAAGACATTGGTAAAATATTACGCCTGACGGAACCCAGGGAAGGAGGCATTAGAGTGAACTGAAGGGGGGTCCAGAAGTCCCCACCTGAGGCAGGGAAGTGGTTGGCATCAGAGATCCAGGCATCTCTCTCCAGGTCCCCACAGGAGCCCCTAAGTTCCAGCACAAGGTGAGCTGCCGTCGGCCAGTTGAGCTGGATTCACCCAGAATATTTCCCCTTTTCTTCTTGGTTTAGAGACCCTTTCATCCAAAGGACCCATATTTATATTCTTATCTAGAATATTCCAGGCACAGGCAGGTGCTGGAGTCCAGAGAGGAAGAAATTCAGACAGGACTGCTGTGTCCACAGAGCTGACTCTGCATCAGGAAGGGGATTTTGAACATTAATTACAGCAAAGTGTGAGCATGACGGCAGGACCCAGGGAATGTGAGAGCTACTTTCAGGTTCTCACCGTGCGTCTGATTGTCTTTTTTCTCTACAGTCTGTGGTCACCTTTCAGGGAAAACAATATATGGTGCAGGACTCAGATGCTGAGATGGCTGAAGCCCCCGCCAGTGTCAGGGATGATCTGAGAGACGTGTCCAGCCAGCGGGCCTCCTCTGTGAATGACATGCACTCGGGGGAAGGCCAGGCCAGCCGAGAGCTGCAGACCCTGCCCAGGGTCCCCGCACTATCCAGGGGGCAGGTGAGTGTGTGAGGCCCTGGTGTCTGGGCAGAGGTGGCAGAAGGGGAAGGCCAGGCCAGCCGAGAGCTGCAGACCCTGCCCTGGGTCCCCGCACTGTCCAGGGGGCAGGTGAGTGTGTGAGGCCCTGGTGTCTGGGCAGAGGTGGCAGAAGGAACAGGAGGAAATCGTGTGGCTGCTGGACTGATTGAGAGATTTGACACAGGACAAAATTAGAGCCATTCCCCATGGACGTGTTGCCTCCTGACGTTCCTGAGCCATCGCAGAGTGAAACCTCCTCTACTTTTTCCCTCCACTATGGAAGCTGTTAGCATTTAGGGTGGGGGTAAGAAATGGTGTCAGTGAAGTGAGGGAGGCAGTTGGTACAGATGAATGAACTGAAGGTCCCTTCCCCACGGCCAGTTTCCTCAGACGTTTCATTCAGCAAGGAACACACTTCCTACAGATGGTTGAGTTCTTAATTTGTGGCAAATTTCTCAACTGGGGTGATTTTGGCTTTCAGGACCCATGTGGCCATGTGTGGAGATTCTAGGGCGTGGCGGGGTGTTCACAGCATCTAGCGGGCAGGGTCTCCGCACTGCACAGGAGCGTCCCCACCAGGAGGGTGATGCAGCCCCTGTGCCAATGGTGCCACAGGTGAGGGACCTCGACCGAGAGTCCTGCTCCTTCCAGTGTCGGGGGCAGGGAGACGGTGGCATGGCTGGGAGAAGTATGCTCAGAGAACCAGAGTGAAAACCACCACATGTGTGTCATTAGAAAAGTTTGTGTATCCAATCATGGACCAGACAGAGGTGTGAGTGCTTCGGCCATTTAGACACGGCAGTCGTTGCTCTCGGTCTTCCATTGTCACCGAGAGGACTTTCTTCTGCCACAGACCACTGACATAAAAGGTGACCAAAAGACTCTGAGACCCGAGCAGAACCTGGAGAAGGATCTGAAGGAAAACAGCAAAGAGAACCCAGGACTCACATCCCCAGAGCCTCAGCTTCCACAGGGTCCCAGTGAGTATGGAGACTTGGATCCACAGGGAGTTAGCCCCTCTCTTCTGGGGTGGGGGGCTGGGGCCAGCATGATCACTCCTGGGGGAGTTGGTGCTCAGCTGCCAAAGCGTCTCCATCCCCCACTCTCCAGAGACCTACGGTCCCATGTCTTAGGCTTGAGGTGGAGGGAAGTTCTCAGCCAACTTCAGCGTTTGGTTGCAGTGAGTTTGGTGAATTGAGAATGTGTTTTATTCACTGTTTTCTGTGGAATCCCTTCTTCCAGCAGATCTGGTGAGGGCAAAGGATGGGAAGGAACCGCAAAAAGGAGCCTCTGTGGAGAATGTGGATGCTGACACAGCTTCTGCCTGCGCGGTGGACACAGAAGCTTCGACTCACAGTGAGGACAGAGAGTCTCTGAATCCGAGAGGTCCCCAAAGAAGCAAACCAGACGCCACCTCCATTTCCCAAGAAGGGCCTCAAGGAGGAGCCACACCTGTGGGCAACAGAGAATCCCCAGGACCAGCTGGGATGAATCCAGTTCATTCCCCAGGCCCTGCGGACGCAGGCAGTCACCCCGCTGGCCAAGAAGCCGTGGCACTGCTGCCCTTTGCCTGTGACGTGTGCAGTAAGAGGTTTAAGTATTACGGCAAGCTGGTCATCCACAAGAGATCACACACCGGAGAGAGACGCTTTCAGTGTAATCTCTGTGGCAAGCGCTTCATGCAGCGCATAGGCCTCCAACTTCACCAGCGCACCCACACCGGCGAGAAGCCCTACACGTGTGACGTCTGCCAGAAGCGGTTCACCCAGAAGTCCTATTTGAAGTGTCACAAGAGGAGCCACACAGGGGAGAAGCCCTACGAATGTAAAGTCTGCAGGAAGGTTTTCACCTACACGGGGAGCCTGAAGGAGCACCTGCGTGTCCACTCCGGAGAGAAGCCCTATAAATGCTCCAAGTGTCTGAGAGCCTTCGGCCGGCCTGCAACGTTAAGACGCCACCAGAAGACACATCGAGAAACCGCCTCGCAGTGATGCCACCATCGAGGCTGTGTCTCCTGCACCAAGAAAACGTGAATGATGATTTTCCACCGATGTTATCAGATGACATTTTACACATGAAAGGAGGCTGGCCACACACACACACACGGGGTGCCCCGGATGTGAATTCCCTGGATGTTTCTTTCAATCCTTTTCCTCCGCAGGGAGTTTTGTGTTTTGTTTCATTACGTCTATTGCTATCGTATGGGTTTATTTTGGTTTGTGTTGCCGTTCTTTCAATAAACAAACGTCTTGTTAGCTTTCAATACTGTATAACGGAAAACCGAGTCTCCTGATTACCATGCTGTTAGCCACTGTGCCGCTGTGAAGTACAGACGTCCGAGGAGGGTGGCCGGATTAAATGCACGATGCCTGGGGGAGTCTGAGTTTCAGATAAACATTTCTATTAGTATCAGCGTGTTCTAAATCATTCGTTATTTATCTGAAACTCAGCTTTGATTGGGTATCCTAGTTTTATTTTTAATTTTTTTTAAAATATGGAACGCTAAAATAAAAATATTTTTTATTTTTGAGATGGAGTCTCTGTCTGTCGTGGCAGGATCCTTGCTCACTGCAGCCGCGACCTTCCCGGCTCAAGCATTCCTCCCATCTAAGCCTCCCGAGTATCTGGGACTACAGGATCACACCACCACTCTGGCTAGTTTTGGTAGAGATGGGATTTCGCCATGTTGCCTAGGCTAGTCTTGAACTCCTGGGTACCAGTGATGCACCTGCCTCAGCCTCCTTACGTGCTAGTATTACAGGCAAGAGCCACTGCACCCTGTATTGTTTTGTTAGACTTTATTGTAATTATTATATTCAAATGTTTGAAATGATTTTTTGTAGGGATGGGATCTCGCTCTGTTGCCCAGGCTGGTCTGGAACTCGTGGCCTCAGGCGATGCTTCCACCTTGGCCTCCAGAAGTGCTGGAATAATGGGTGTGAGCCACCATGCCTAGCTTTAGACATTTATTTTTCAGAGCTGTTACAGGTTTACAGGGAAATTCAGTGGACAGCACAGCCTCTCCCCACCAGCATCCCCAGCAGGGTGGGGCGCTTGATCCGTCAGTGAGCCTGCCTGGACACATCCTCACCACCCAGACTCCGTGGTGTCCATTAGGGCTCCCTCTTGGTGTTGTACATCCCGGGGGTTTGAACAAAGGCCTAATGATGAGCATCCACCACTGGAGTATCATGGGGGGTGTCTTCGCTGCCCCCCGAATCCTCTCTGCTCTGCCTATTTACCTCCCTGCCCCAATGGTGTATTTTTTGGCCTAAAATTCGGCAACCGCTAAATTCCCAATTTGGCTCTTGAAGTACAGAGGCATTCGGAGTCTCTGGTGACTATCTGGTCTTAGTGATATTACCATCCCCTGAAGACTTTGTGAATGCTCAGATGGGCGGGCCCCAAACTCAGAGCGGCTGATTTAGTAGACTGGGGGAGGGGCCTGAGAGTGTGCATTAAAAAATGGAATTCAGTGCTTGCTTCCCCAGCACACGCACTAACATTGGAACGATACAGAGCAGATTCGCATGGCCCCGGAGCACGGATGGCACGCAAATTCGTGAAGCTTCCATATTTTAATTTGTTTTTTTTTTTAATTTAAAAAAAAATAGAATTCACTTGAGAATAGCTTTCCAAAATCCACTGAGCTCCCTATTGTCCCCACACCATTTCCCCTACTATTTTTTGTTTGTTTGTTTGTTTTTTTGAGATGGAGTCTCGCTCTGTTACCCAGGCTGGAGTACAGTGGTTCGATCTCAACTCACTGCAACCTCCACCTCGGGGGTTCAAGCTATTCTCCGGCCTCAGCCTCCCGTATACTGGGACTGCAGGCACGCGCCACCACACCCAGCTAATTTATATAGATATTTTTGTTGTTGTTGTTCTAGAAAAAGTCTTTTGCTTTTTCATAGCATAGTGAGTCATTTATGAAGAGGAAGTGAGTTCCGTTGAAAAATACTTGAAATATTCTCTTAGGGGGAGAAAGCAGTTCTTCAGCAGCTTGGCGGGCTGCTGGGCCGGGAGCCTAGAGCTCTGCCTGTTCTGAGCCAGCATGGACAATGCCTCTTCGGCAGGCACGGCCCAGTGCCAGCTCCTAACGGCTGGGATGCTGCTCTGCACACAGACAGCATTCTGTAGGGCTCAGCCGTGGACATCCGGGATGGTGGCCGGCTCCATGTCCAGGAGGCAACACACCACATCCACACGGTCCATGAACACCCTAAATGGTAGACAACCGTGTCCGGATTGAAGATGCCAGGCTGTGCCGATTCCACGGCAGGCCAAGGGGTTTTACAAAGACTCAGTGATCAGTTCAAAGCGTTTGAAGTCACAGTTTATTTGTGAGGCTTTCACACACCAACAGGCAAGCAAATATACTTAACACACGCACTGATCAGAGAGAGGGGGAGTCAGCCAGGGCCAGTGGCTCTCAGACGGCGCTCACTGACCAACCAGGCGGGTCTAGATTTCCCTCAAAATGCTGTTTAAGTGAAAGACACTTAACAACAGGCTCACTCTGACCTTCCTGTGGTATTTTAAAAACAGGAAATAGAGCGGGCACGGTGGCTCAAGCCTGTAATCCCAGCACTTTGGGAGGCCGAGGCGGGTGGATCACCTGAGGTCAGGAGTTCGAGACCATCCTGGTCAACATGGTGAAGCCTCGTCTCTACTAAAAATACAAAAAATTAGCTGGGCACGGTGGCACGCGCCTGTAATCCCAGCTACTCGGGAGGCTGAGGCAGGAGAATTGCCTGAACCCAGGAGGCGGAGGTTGCGGTGAGACGAGATCGCGCCATTGCACAAGAGCGAAACTCCATCTCAAAAAAAAAAAAAAAAAAAAAAGGCTGACCAGCAGAGTGGGGTGGGTGGGGTTGGCTGCATTTCCTGAAGTTCTGCGCAGGTGTGTGTGGCCCAGGTGTGTGGTCGGCTGCACCCTCTGGGTTTGTGTGATGTTCTCACGCAGCACAGTCACCTAGTGATGCGTTTCTCAGAGCATAGCCCCATCCTTAGGTGACCTGACATTTTATTTCTTCCTGTACTAATCGGATTGCTGCTGCTGCAGGGGCCCGGGCCTCTGAAGGAGTTAAAAATACGCCCGACTGGCAAATCAGCTGTTTAAGTGAAAGACACCTAACAACAGGCTCACTCTGACCTTCCTGTGGTATTTTAAAAACAGGAAATAGAGCGGGCGCGGTGGCTCATGCCTGTAATCCCAGCACTTTGGGAGGCTGAGGCGGATGGATCACCTGAGGTCAGGAGTTCGAGACCAGCCTGACCAATATGGTGAAAACCCCGTCTTAAAAAAAAAAACAGGAAATAAAATTTCCATGTGAAAGACACCCTCCCTGTACCAAAGGAACGGGGTGGCTCACACCTGTAATCCTGGCATTTTGGAAGGCCCAGGCAGGAGGATCCAGGAGGCACTCGAATTCAGGACCTGCCTAGGCTACACAGTGAGACCCCATCCCCACAAAAAAAAAAAAAAAAAAAAAAAACAAAGCTGGCTTGGTAGCCCATGCCTGAAGTCTCAACTACTTTGGAGACGAAAGTCAGAGAATCGCTGGAGCACAGGAGGTCGGGGCTGCAGTGAGCTGTGACCCTGCATCCCAGCCTGGGTAACGAAGGAGACCCTGTCACAAAAAGTCAATGAGTAAACAACACTAATCGTCCACAGGCGCTACCCTGGAATCCACACCTTCGCCCTGCGTGTGCGGAGGTTGACCGAGGCCCTTCCACATTTCTCAGGGGCCCTGCAGGGGGACGGGTTGCGGCTCCACGCGAACTTCACGGCTGGTCCCGCTGAGATCAAAACACAGTGGCGCAGACCTGTACTCCCAGCACTTTGGAAAGCGAGGCGGGGGGGGGGGGGGATCCCCTGAAGTCGGGAGTTCGAGACCAGCCTGGGTAACATAGGGAGACGCCCATCTCTATGAGACACACACGCACGGCACACAATAGGCAGCCCCGGTGGGCTCGCATTCCTCGGGGGCTCCAGCCAAGCGCCGCCCGCCGGTCCAGCAGTGAGCAGCCACGTCCACAGCCTCCGCTGCCGCCTCCCCACCCCGGCCAGAAGCTCCAGGTCAGCTCGCGCAGGCTGTCCACGTGGTCCTCCCGGCTCCCTGCGTGGTCCTTCCAGTTCCCCAGATGGTCCTCCCGGCTCCCCAGATGGTCCTCCCGGTCCCCTAGATGGTCCTCCCGGCTCCCTGTGTGGTCCTCCCGGCTCCCCAGATGATCCTCCCGGCTCCCCAGATGGTTCTCCCGGCTCCCCAGATGGTCCTCCCGGTTCCCCAGATGGTCCTCCCGGCTCCCCAGATGGTTCTCCCGGCTCCCCAGATGGTCCTCCCGGTTCCCCAGATGGTCCTCCCGGTCCCCTAGATGGTCCTCCCGGCTCCCTGCGTGGTCTTCCCGGCTCCCCAGATGGTCCTCCCGGTCCCCTAGATGGTCCTCCCGGCTCCCCGCGTCGTCTTCCCGGCTCCCCAGATGGTCCTTCCGGTTCCCCAGATGGTCCTCCCGGCTCCCCAGATGGTCCTCCCGGCTCCCCAGATGGTCCTCCCAGCTCCCCACGTCGTCTTCCCGGCTCCCCAGATGGTCCTCCCGGTTCCCCAGATGGTCCTCCCGGTCCCCTAGATGGTCCTCCCGGCTCCCTGTGTGGTCCTCCCGGTCCCCTAGATGGTCCTCCCGGCTCCCTGTGTGGTCCTCCCGGCTCCCCAGATGGTCCTGCCGGCTCCCCAGATGGTCCTCCCAGCTCCCTAGATGGTCCTCCCGGCTCCCCGCGTCGTCTTCCCGGCTCCCCAGATGGTCCTCCCAGCTCCCTAGATGGTCCTCCCGGCTCCCGCGTGGTCCTCCCGGCTCCCTAGATGGTCCTCCCGGCTCCCGCGTGGTCCTCCCGGCCCCCTGCATGGCTGCGCCCCAGGGACACGGTCCCGGCGTGGTGGTGTCCGCGCCCTGCGTCTCCCGAGCTCTTTCTCCCGGGTTCTCCCGCGGAGCCGGGGGAGGAAAAGGAGCCCCGCCGCGACCCCGCCTTCCCCGCGCGCAGCCCCCACGCGGCCCGGAGACAGGACCAGGCAGGGGCGCCGGGCTCGGGAGGGCGGGCGAGTCCGTCGTCAGCGCGCAGCTGCCTCCGGCTCCTTCCCCGAGAGCCGACCCGCCCCCCAAGGACGGCCCCGCAGGGAGACGGAGGGGAGCGGAATCCGCGCCGTCGGTGCCGGGGACCCCGGACACCCCGAGCCGGGAGCGCGGCCGGCGCTTCACCCTCGTCCAGGCCTCCCCGCACCCAGCAGCGCTTCCCTCGAGCCCAGGCGGGCCCAGGTCCTACCGCAAGGCGGACCCGGAGGGCGACCGCGACATCTCGGACGGCGAAGGCAAGTCCTTGGAGCTGCCCCTGCGCGGAGACGTCGGCCAGAAACACAGGCCGGGAGACAAGGGGTGGCAGCGATGGAGCGGGGGGTGAGCCCCGCAGGGAGCCCCACCTCGGAGGCCCCGGGCCCGCCGCGCGCCGGCCGCGCTCTGCGCACAGGAGCCACACGCACCCGATCCCCCAATGTGCTTTCTCTTCTTGCTCCGAGATCGGAGGCGACCTGGCCTGGGCCGGGGTGTCCGGGGAGCCCCGCTGGCCTCCGCCCTGCACCCCGAGTCCGAGCGGCGCCCCGTCCTCCTGACTTCCCGAGACTCCGCTGGGAATGGGGCCCTTTTAGCACCAACATTTCTCCTGATTTTGGTGGGCGCAGATTTCCTGGTGAAAATAGCCGCTAGGGCGCAGTCTCCGCAGCTTGACAGCGGGAAAGCAAAAGCCTCAGGCTGGGGGCAAAAAGGGGTGGGGGGGGAGGAACAGTGGGGGAAAGTAGGCGGAATTTTGGGGTCAACCGTTTTCTAGTTTCCAATTTTAATTTTAATTTTTTTTTTTGAGACGGAGCCTCGCTCTGTTGCTCAGGCTGGAGTGCAATGGCGCGATTTCTGCCCACCACAGCCTCCCCCTCCCAGGTTCAAGCGATTCTCCTGCCTCAGCCTCCCAAGTTTCCAATTTGATTTTTATTTTTATTTTATTTTATTTTATTTTTTGAGACGGAGTTTCGCTCCTGTCACCCAGGCTGGAGTGCAATGGCGCGATCTCGGCTCACCGCAACCTCCGCCTCCTGGGTTCAGGCAATTCTCCTGCCTCATCCTCCTGAGTAGCTGGGATTACAGGCACGCGCCACCATGCCCAGCTAATTTTTGTATTTTCAGTAGAGACAGGGTTTCACCATGTTGACCAGGATGGTCTCGATCTCTTGACCTCATGATCCACCCGCCTCGGCCTCCCAAAGTGCTGGGATTACAGGTCAAGTTTCCAATTTTAAATACATGGAGGGAAGTTTGGGGGAACCATGGAAGGAAGTCGAGGAGGAGAGGAAGAAACTCTTTTTCCTTGTTTTCTGGGAGTAACTGGAAATTAAGGAAGGACCTCTCTCCGTCCCCCAGGCTGGAGTGCAGTGTCGCAATCTCTCTGCTCACTGCAGTCTCCACCTCCTTGGCTCAAGAGATCTTCTCATTCCAGCCTCCCAAGTAGCTGGGACCACAGGTGTGCGCCACCAGGCCAGGCTAATTTTTAAGTGATGTGTAGAGATGAGGGTCTCACTACGTTGCCCAGGCTGCTCTCCAATTCCTGGGCTTAAGAAAGCCTCCTGCCTCAGCCTCCCAGAGTTCTGGGATTACAGATGTGAGTCACTGTGGGCGCTCACGGTGCCTGGCCCTAGTTGCTTTTCTGCCGGGGCAGAAGGGCAACACAATGACTGTGATTGTGAGGATGGTCCCACAGTGAGATGCTTGTTACGGTGCATCCATCTGAAACACCGCACATCTGAACTGGGACTGTTAACACCCCTGCAATGCACTGTGGGGTGCCAGGAAGTGCCTGCTGATATTTGTGGGAAAAAAGTCTATTTTGTTCACCTATTGTATCACAGGAAAGTCTGGGGAGAACTGTAGTATTTTTTTTAATCAGATGTGAAAAACATTTACAGATCTTAAAAAAAAAAAAAAGCCAGGCGTGTGGCTCATGCCTGTAATTCCAGCACTTTGGGAGGCCGAGTTAGGTGGATCCCCTGAGGTCAGGTGCCTACCGTGTGTCTACTAAAAATACAAAAATTAGCCAAGCGCGGTGGTGGGCGCCTGTAATCCCAGCAACTTGGGAGGCTAAGAAAGGAGAATTGCTTGAACCCGGGAGGTGGAGGTTGCAGTGAGCCAAGATCGTGCCACTGCGCTCCAGCCTGTGCGATGGGAATGAGACCCCATCTAAAAAAAAAAAAAAAAGAAAGAAAACCGTAAGATAGGTAGGCCATTTCATAGAACAGTGGAGGGATTCAGTGGGGTGGGGCCGATTCCGGCTGGGTTGGCATCAGAGCATTATAGCCTTTTCTGTGAGAATGTGCCATGCTTGGCTTCTAGATTCTGGTATTTGTGCAAGTTCCACAAAAGAGAATGTTAACGTGATGACGAGAGGACACGGCAGGCAAAGCCATCAGAACCGTGATTGGACTGTGGAGAAAATGGATTTCCGTGGCCAGAGTGGTGAGAGGTTGTGTGCGTGGATGCTGAACTTACAAAGAAGACTTCAGATCTAGGTAGGAGAGGAGGTGTGTGAGCTGGCAGCCAGTGCTTCAGTGAGTGGGGCAGAGAAATCGGTAAAAAGCAGCAAAGTGAAGACAAGAATCCTGTTTCCATTCCCCAGGGTTTCCTGCTCCATGGAATGGGGTGGGAGAAATGAGGAGATGCTGGCTAAAGAGTGCGAAGTCCCAGCCAGGTGCAGTGGCTCACGCCTGTAATCCCAGCACTTTGGGAGGCCAAGGCGGGTGGATCACGAGGTCAGGAGATCGAGACCATCCTGGCCAACATGGTGAAACCCCGTCTCTACTAAAAAGTACAAAAAGCCGGGCATGGTGGCATGCAGTTGTAGCCCCAGCTACTGAGGAGGCTGAGGCAGGAGAAATCGCTTGAACCCAGGAGGTGGAGATCGCAGTGAGCGGAGATCACACCACTGCACTCCAGCCTGGGCAAAAGAGGGAGACTCCGTCTCAAAAAAAAAAAAAAAAAAAGACATCTACAGATTTGATGCAATCCCTACCAATGTTCTTCGCAGAAATAGACTATGAGTTTCCAGAGGGAAGGATTCAGAGGAATTGGGTAGGCAGATGGTGGTTTAGGCAGCTCCCAGTTAATTCCAGTGAATAATTCCATTCTTAACTCTAGTCCATTGTCAACACCTCAGTGGGTGAGAGGGAAAGATATCACAAAGTATGAGAAAATGCACCAGAAAAATAATTGTCACGACTATTTGGCAAAATGACCTTGTATCGAGCACTATACCGACCCAGTCTTATTTCATCTTCAAAACAACACATCAGGAAGGTTCTATTTACAAGCACTTTGAAGTTTCCAGAGTTAAATGGCTTAAGATTTTGCTGCAGGGCATGCTTGCTCACGCCTGTAATCCCAGCACTTTGGGAGGCTGAGGCGGGTGGATCACCTGATGTCAGGAGTTCAAGACCAACGTGGCCAACATGGTGAAACCCCGTCTCTACTAAAAATACCAAATATTAGCTGGGTGTGGTGGCGCGTGCCTGTAATCCCAGCTCCTCGGGGGGCTGAGGCAGGAGGATCGCTTGAACCTGGGAGGCGGAGGTTGCGGTGAGCCAAGGTCGTGCCATTGCACTTCAGCCTGGGTGACAGAGTGGAACCACCATCTCAAAAGATTTTTCAAGGGGATTCAAACCAGAATCAGTGTAAAACCAACAGCCCTTCGATTTATTTTAAAGGTTAGATGAAAACGTTCACTCTGAATTTAAAGCAATTGAGTCGCGATTTGAATGGATTAGTGCAGTCCAGTTGACTGTGTGAATTTCCCAGATTGTAATCTAATCCTGCCTAGATTAGATTATCATTCCACACTAACCGCATGCTCCACACAGGAAAATTCACACCCACCATGAAGGCCTTTCATGCTTGAGAGCCCTAACTGGGGGGGCTGAGAACTAGGGAACCCTGTGGGATCCTCAGTGGATGTACAGAGCAGCCGCCCACCACCCTGGAGTGATGGGCCTTTCCCTGGTTCCCACTGTCTTTATGTAAGGAAGGGTAGCTTGGCCAATATCAAACCAGTGATTTCGTCTAGTTCAACCAAAGCTTTCACATGTGAATTCCAAGATTTTTTTAAAAAAAAAAAAGGTAAAAAGTTCTCACAACTATTCATCACATCTCAACAATGAATGTGCACTATTTTCAGTATCTTGGAATTCACATGTGAAAGCTTTGCTCAGATGAGATCAAATCACTGGTTTGATATTAATCAACAAACTCTATTTTGATTTTTCTCTTTCCTTTTCTTTTTTTAACCATTTCATCAGTAAGTCAACCAGCTCTTAACACGCCCTTTACTTGTTGGGATATTACTGTCTGTGGCCTGAGGAGATCCAAAGTGGCTAAAACGTACGGATCTGTATTTTCTGAGGCCTCCAGATACTTCAGAAATATGACAAATCACTCAGCAGAGCGGGACAACCCATGCTGTTTGCACAGTAGGCCTGTTTAATACTTGAATTTCCTGTGGGTGGGGTTTCATTGGGAAATGCAATCAACGCCAATCACCGAAAATGCATTCTGTGGCCCTAAACCAATCACGGGGCCGCACAGGGAACCAGAAGAGGGGCCTGGGGCCCCCTCGGCTTCTGTATAAATAGAGCAGTTCAGCTCCCGGCCGGGTGGAGAGCGCAGCCCGCACGCGAGGAGGTCGGAGGCGGAGGCCGGGAAGGCGGTGAGCGCCCCGCGGGGCTGCCCGTGGGGTTTAGGGGTTGGCGTGGGATGGAGGGGCTGTTTCAGAAAGATGTGGGTTTATCTTCCCAGGCGTTTGCTCGGAGACCTTGGGAAGGCAGCGGGTCTCCTCTGCACCCCGTTACTAACTCTGACTCCTTACGTGGCGCTTCCGTAAACTCGGGAGTAATCCTAACCCTCTCGGCCTGCCGGGTGCGGTGGCTCACGCGTGTAACCCCGGCGCTGTCGGAGGCCGAGGCGGGCGGGTCACGAGGTCAGGAGTTCGAGACTATCCGGGCTAACACGGCGAAACCCTGTCTCTACTAAAAATACAAAAAAGTAGCGGAGCGTGGTGGCGGGCGCCTGTAATCCTAGCGCCGTGGGAGGCGGAGGCAGGAGAAGCGCTGGAGTCCGGGAAGCGGAGGTTGCAGTGAGCTGAGCTCGCTGCCGCACTCCAGCCCGGACCACAGAGGGAGACTCCGTCTAAAAGAAGAAGAAAAAAGTAATATTAACTTTCTTTTTTTAGGTTTTTGTTTTATTTTTTGGAGATGGGATCTGGCTCATTGCCCAGGCTGGTCTGGAACTCCCAGGCTCAAGCCATCGGCCGGCCTCGGCCTCCCGCTAGCTGGGGCTGCAGGAACACACACCATGCTGCCCGACTGCGTTTTTTATTTATTGTAGAGACGTGGTCTCACTACTTTGCCCAGGCTGGGCTCGAACTCCTGTACTGCAGCAATCTGCCCCGCCTCCGTCTCGGTCTCCACCTCCTGAACAGGGGCGTTTAGGGAACTTGGCAGGAAAACCTCTTTAATTCCCAGAATTTCAGGCTGCCTTTTCTCCCTTGTATCTGTATGCTTTTTAAAAATACGTTGATTTACGGCCAGGCGCGGTGGCTCACGCCTGTAATCCCAGCACTTTGGGAGGCCGAGGTGGGTGGATCACAAGGTCAGGAGTTCGTGACCAGCCTGGCCAACGTGGTGAAACCCCATCTCTACTAAAAATACAAGAATTAGCTGGGTGTGGTGGCGCGTGCCTTTAATCCCAGCGACTCGGGAGGCTGAGGCAGGAAAATCGCAAGTATTGATTTGCTTAATAAAAAATAAATAAACAAAATGAGAAGGTCTCTGGATGTGTCTCCCAGGCTGGAGCACAGAGGCACAATCACTGTTCACTGCTGGGCTCACGCACTTCTGCTGCCTTCACCTCCGGGAGTGCTGAGGTGCCGGGTGAGCCCCCACGCCAGGCCTGATTTAATTCCAGATTGAGAAATACATGTTTAATCGTGTATGTCTATGGTGCATGGCAGCATGTGTTATATGTGTGTCTTGTGCAATGGTTGAATTGAGCAAACCCTCATAGGCTCTACATCACGGTGCATACTTCACCGCACGGTCTTACCAGTTTTTGGTCCTGAGAACACTTCCAATCCCTTAGCAATTTCCAAGTATACAATACACTGCTGTCAACTGCAGCCACCATGCTGTATAGTAGACCTGTGTCATGGTTTTTTTTGTTTTTGTTTTGTTTTGAGACCGAGTCTTGCTCCGTTGCCCAGGCTGGAGTGCGGTGGCACAATCTTGGCTCACTGTAGCATCAGCCTCCTGGGTTCAAGCCAGGAGCAATTTCCAATACAATACAATACATCGCTGTGAACTATATAGTCACCATGCTGTACAGTACACCTATTTAATGGTCTCAGTTCTCTGCAGCCGCTGCCTCCCGGGTTCAAGTGTTTCTTCTTCCTCAGCCTCCCCAGTAGCTGGGGCTACAGGCACCCACCACCACACCAGGCTAATTTTTGTATTTTTAGTAGAGACAGGGTTTCACCATGTTGGCCAGGCTGGTCTTGAACTCCTGACCTTGTGATCCACCGGCCTCGGCCTCCCAAAGTGCTAGGATGACAGGCGTGAGACACCACGCCCAGCCTTAATGTTATTTTTGTTATTTCTTTTATTTAAGAAAAAAAGTTTTAATGGCCAGGAGAGTGGCTCACACCTGTCATCTCAGCACTTTGGGAGGCTGAGGCATGGGGATCACTTGAGGTCAATAGTTTGAGACTCGCCTGGCCAGCATGGTGAAACCCCATCTCTACTAAAAATACCAAAATTAGCTGGGCGTAGTAGCGCACGTCTTGTAATCCCAGCTACTCCGGAGGCTGAAGGAGAGCCACATGGACCCCAGAACAGGTGAGCCGAGCGAGATTGCACCACTGCACTCCAGCCTGGGCGACAGAGCGAAACTCCATCTCAGAAAACACAAATAAATAAAATAATTAAAATAAAAAATAAAAACCTCTTGGTGGCTGCAATGCAATCACACCTGTAATCCCAGCACTTTGGGAGGCTAGACAATTGAATCGCTTGAGCCCAGAGTTTGAGACCAGCCTGAGCAACATAAGGAAATCCCGCCTCTGTTACAAAAGTAACCTATAAAAATTAGCCGGGCATGGTGATTCACTTGCAGTCCCAGCTACTCAGGGAGGCTGAGGTGGGAGAATCACTTGAGCCCAGGAGGTTGAGGCTGAGGGAACCATGGTTGCGAAATTCCCTCCAGCCTGGGTGACGGCAAGACCCTTTCTCAAAAAGAAAAAAGCTTTCTATGGTATGATCCCATCCCACTTCCTGAAAATGACATAAGACTTTAATCCTTTTTATGGAATGAGACGAGGAATTGAGAAACTCTCAGAGGCAGAAAGCGGATTATTGATTGCCAGGGGCTGTGGTGGGTGGGGCAGGGCGTGATTACTGACGGAGATAGGATTCCGGTTTGGGGTAAGGAGATAATTCGGGAATTTGAGAGCGGTGATGGTTGTACGGCATCGTGCATGTTCTTAGTAAAAGTGATGAATGTTATGAATGTATTTTACCGGAATGACAAGGATATCTGTGCAGGAGCTTAATTCTCCCAGGATGTTATCGTGCCCCCTATTCCCTGCAGCAAATGCATATCCTGGGGTTAACAAGAAAAATGTGTTGGGGACAATCATAGGTTGTAACTATTAATATTTTTTCTCTACCATTTTGCATAATTAGGAGAAAGGGTTTGCCTCGGATTGTCTCTTAATGGGAAAACATAAAGAGTTTATTTATTTATTTATTTATTTATTTATTTTTTTTGAGACGGAGTTTCGCTCTTGTTACCCAGGCTGGAGTGCAATGGCGCGATCTCGGCTCACCGCAACCTCCGCCTCCTGGGTTCAGGCAATTCTCCTGCCTCAGCCTCCGGAGTAGCTGGGATTACAGGCACGCGCCACCATGCCCAGCTAATTTTTTGTATTTTTAGTAGAGACGGGGATTTACCATGTTGACCGGGATGGTCTCGATCTCTTGACCTTGTGATCCACCCGCCTCGGCCTCCCAAAGTGCTGGGATTACAGGCGTGAGCCACCGCGCCCGGCCGAGAGTTTACTTTATGTATATACTGAGACAGAGTCTTGCTCTGTCACCCACGCTGGAGTCCAGTGTATTGCTCAGCTCACTGCAACCTCCGCCTCCTGGGTTCAGGCAGTTCTCTCCCTCAGTCTCCTGAGCAGCTGGGATTACAGGCCTCTGCCACCCACGCAGCTACTTTTTTGTATTTTTGGTAGAGACTGGGTTTCACAATCTTGGCCAGGCTGGTCTTGAACTCCTAACCTTGTGATCCACCTGCCTCAGCCTCCCAAAGTGCGGGGATTATAGCCACTGGGCCCAGCCAGTACTGACATTATCATGGCATCAGATTTTAGGAGATTCACACAGATACCTGATTTGATTTACGGTCAAGGACAATGTTGTCCCCATTGAACAGCAGTTCCTGCTCTGCACAATGATCCCCTAGTGGTCAGAGTCCAGGGGAGGATTCAGATTTACCCAGAACATGCAATCCAGGAGAGACACTGGAAGAATAACAGGGCGGGGTGACTTCCGTGCTGCCGAGTCCCACGCTAGAGGGGAAGCCGGATCCGGGATTGGGATGAGGGATTTCCAAGGGCGGGGCGGGTGGAGTAGAAACAAACTGATTGGGCTTCTGCTTTCCATCTGCAGACTTCTGAGCAGTGAATCCGTTACCGGAAAAAAACCAGGGGTAGCCTGTGTAGACAGGTCTCAGTTAGATGCTAGTTACTGAAAGAGCTTGCTCAGAGACTGATTGAAAAATTCTCCACTAGATATGGCTGCAAATCGCAGACTCCCCTGGCGTCAGGGAGAACCCCGAAACAGACCTGGGTTACAGCTGCCACGGTCCGTGGCATCCATAGAAACTAAACTTAGAAATGACTACGGGGACCCTGAGACTTGGCACATGAACTTCAGGATGTTCGACTGCCCTGGGGAGTTGGACCCCATCCAGGCTCTGAGGAGACTCACTGAGCTGTGCCGCCTGTGGCTGAGGCCCGACCTCCACACCAAAGAGCAGATCCTGGACATGCTGGTGATGGAGCAGTTCCTGATCTCCATGCCCCAGGAGCTCCAGGTCTTAGTCAAGGTGAACGGGGTACGGAGCTGCAAAGAGCTGGAGGACCTGCTGCAGAATAACGGAAGACCCAAGAAATGGGTGAGTAGGACCCTGGTGGTTGGTGCAGGGAAGGGGAGCTGTGCTGGGGCCAAAGAATTATCCAGTCTCAAATATCAGCATAGCCAATGTTGCACATCCCTGGTCTAGGAGAGGGACAGGCAGAGGGGACCCAGGGACCAACACCCTGTGTGAGGCCAACGTGAAACAAAGACATTGGTAAAATATTACGCCTGATGGAACCCAGGGAAGGAGGCATTAGAGTGAACTGAAGGGGGGTCCAGAAGTCCCCACCTGAGGCAGGGAAGTGGTTGGCATCAGAGACAGGCATCTCTCTCCAGGTCCCCACAGGAGCCCCTAAATTCCAGCACAAGGTGAGCTGCCGTCGGCCAGTTGAGCTGGATTCACCCAGAATATTTCCCCTTTTCTTCTTGGTTTAGAGACCCTTTCATCCAAAGGACCCATCTTTATGTTCTTATCTAGAATATTCCAGGCGCAGGCAGGTGCTGGAGTCTAGAGAGGAAGAAATTCAGACAGGACTGCTATGTCCACAGAGCTGACTCTGCATCGGGAAGGGGATTTTGAACATTAATTACAGCAAAGTGTGAGCATGACGGCAGGACCCAGGGAATGTGAGCGCTACTTTCAGGTTCTCACAGTTTGATTGTCTTTTTTTCTCTACAGTCTGTGGTCAACTTGCTTGGCAAGGAATATCTTATGCTGGACTCAGATGCTGAGATGGCTGAAGCCCCCGCCAGTGTCAGGGATGATCTGAGAGACGTGCCCAGCCAGCGGGCCTCCTCTGTGAATGACGTGCACTCGGGGGAAGGCCAGGCCAGCCGAGAGCTGCAGACCCTGCCCTGGGTCCCTGCACTGTCCAGGGGGCAGGTGAGTGTGTGAGGCCCTGGTGTCTGGGCAGAGGTGGTGGAAGGAACAGGAGGAAATCGTGTGGCTGCTGGACTGATTGAGAGATTTGGCACAGGACAAAATTAGAGCCATTCTCCATGGACATGGTACATCCCCAGACATTCCTGAGCCATCACAGAGAGTGAAGGCTCGTCTACTTTTCCATGAAAACTTTTAGCATTTAGGGTAGGGGTAAGAAATGTTGTCAGTGAAGTGAGAGAGGCAGTGGCACAAATGAATGAACTGAAGGTCCCTTCCCCACGGCCAGTTTCCTCAAAGACATTTCATGAAATCATTCAGCAAGGAAACTATTTTCTACAGATTGTCTTTTTCTTAATTCTAGGACTGTTTCTTAACAGGGGTGATTTTGCCTTTCAGGACTCAGTTGCCATGCGTGGAGATGTTTTTGTGTGTCATTGTAGGGGGTGGTGGGGAGTTCACAGCATCTAAAGGGTGGAGGCGGGGTCTCCGCACTGCACAGGAGCGTCTCCACCAGGAGGATGATGCAGCCCCTGTGCCAGTGGTGCCACGGGTGAGAGACCTCGATCTAGAGTCCTGCTCCTTCCAGAGTCAGGGCAGGGAGAGTGTGGCATGGCTGGGAGAAATAGGCTCAGAGAACCAAAGAGTTGAAAACCACCAGGCACAGGAGCTGACTTAGAATATGGAGGGTCCCGATTAGGGACAGACTCAGAAATGAGGTGGTGATGTTGACTTGGGGTGATGGGGTGGCCCAGAGGAAGTCTGCACGTTTCTACACCTGTGTCATTAGAAAAGTTGGTTCATCCAATCAGGAAGAGATGGAGATGTTTGTGCTTCCACCAGTTTAGACCCAGCAGTCATTGCTCTCGATTTTTCACTGTCAGGGAGAGGACTTCCTGCTACAAAAGAGTATTGTCATGAAAGGTGACCCAAAGGTTCTGAGACCCAAGCAGAACGTGGAGAAGGATCTGAAGGAAAACAGCAAAGAGAACCCAGGACTCACATCCCCAGAGCCTCAGCTTCCACAGGGTCCCAGTGAGTATGGAGACTTGGATCCACAGGCAGTTAGCCCCTCTCTTCTGGGGTGGGGGACTGGGGCCAGCATGATCACTCCTGGGGGAGTTGGTGCTCAGCTGCCAAAGCGTCTCCATCCCCCACTCTCCAGAGACCTACGGTCCCATGTCTTAGGCTTGAGGTGGAGGGAAGTTCTCAGCCAACTTCAGCGTTTGGTTGCAGTGAGTTTGGTGAATTGAGAATGTGTTTAATTCACTGTTTTATGTGGAATCCCCTTTTCCAGCAGATCTGGTGAGGGCAAAGGATGGGAAGGAACCGCAAAAAGGAGCCTCTGTGGAGAATGTGGATGCTGACACAGCTTCTGCCTGCGCGGTGGACACAGAAGCTTCGACTCACAGTGAGGACAGAGAGTCTCTGAATCCGAGAGGTCCCAAAAGAAGCAAACCAGACGCCACCTCCATTTCCCAAGAAGAGCCTCAAGGAGGAGACACACCTGTGGGCAACAGAGAATCCCCGGGACCAGCTGGGATGAATCCAGTTCATTCCCCAGGCCCTGCGGACGCAGGCAGTCACCCCGCTGGCCAAGAAGCCGTGGCACTGCGGCCCTTTGCCTGTGACGTGTGCCGTAAAGCATTTAAGTATTTCTCCCAGCTAAAGCTCCACGAGCGATCACACACGGGAGAGAGACCCTTTGCATGTGCTCAGTGTAGGAAGCGCTTCTTGCAGGCCTCAGACCTCCGGGTTCACCAGCGCACCCACACCGGCGAGAAGCCCTACAGGTGTGGCGTCTGCAACAAGCGCTTCGCCCACGAGTCCACCTTGCATGGTCACATGAGGATGCACACGGGGGAGAAGCCGTTCAAATGCAAATGCTGCGGCAGGGTCTTCAGCCACAAGGGGAACCTGAACGTCCACCTGCGCACCCACTCTGGGGAGAAACCCTACAAGTGTCCCGTGTGCGGGAACGTCTTCCGCCAGTTGGGAACGTCCAAACGCCACCTGAAAACACATCAGAAACCACTTCCCCGTGATTTCAGAGAGGGGTTCTCACCCTCCACCCCAGGAGAGACTGAATGATGACTTTTCTGCATGGCATAAAGTACTTGATGGGTGCTCCCAGGATGTTTGAGTAAAGATGTGTGTCCTTCCCTGTGAGTTTTGTTTTCTGTTTGATGACGCCTATCGCTTTCTCATAGATTTATTTTAGTGTGTGTTGCTGTTTCTCTTCCAGTGAGCACAGGTCTCATTTTCCAGTATCTTACAATAAGAAATGAGCACGGCGGCATGCAACGGTCATCGCAGCCACTGGGGAGGCTGAGAGGCAGGAGGATCGCTTGAGTCCAGGAATTGAAGTCCGTCCTGGCAACATAGTGAGACCCCGTCTCAAAAAAAAAACAAAGAAACATGTTTGTATTTTTAGTAGAGACGGGGTTTCGCCATGTTGACCAGGATGGTCTCGATCTCCTCAGCTTGTGATCCGCCCGCCTCGGCCTCCCACAGTGCTGGGATCACAGGCGTGAGCCCCCGTGCTGCGCCCGGCCAACTTTATTTTTTAGAGCAGTGTTAGGTTCACACCACAATCCAGTGCAAAGTACAGAGTATTCCTATAGATCCTGCACACACACAGCTCCCCACTGTCAACATCCCCACCAGAGGGGTGCCCTTGTTACAATGGGATCATTTCCTGACAACCCGCCCACCCACGCATGGGCATGCAGCTGCCTCCCTTCTCTGTGGCAGTCCTTCCAGGTGGTGTAGGTACTACACAGCCAGGCTGAGCTCCAGACGGCTGCTGAAGAAGGAAAGAAAGCCTCAGGAGTCTCACGGGCAGAGCTTCTATAGCCCCCTCCCCCTTCCCCTCCCCCTCCCCTCCCCTCCTCCCCTCCTCCCCCCACCCCTCCCCTCTTCCCCTGCCCCTCCCCTCGTCCCCCTCCCCTCCCTTCCTCCCCTCCTCCCCCTCCCCTCCCTTCCTCCCCTCCCCTCCCCTCCTCTCCTCCCCCCTCCCCTCCTCCCCCCTCCCCCCTCCCCCTCCCCTCTCCCCGTCCTCCCTCCCCCCTCCCCTCCCCTCTCCTCCTCCCCCTCTCCACTCCTCCATCCCCTCCCCTCCCTTCCTTCCCCCTTCCCCTCCCCTCCCCTCCCCTCCTCCCCTCTCCCCTCTCCCCCTCCTCCCTCCCCTCCTCCCCCTCCCCTCTCCCCCTCCTCCCTCCCCCCTCCCCTCCTCCCCTCCCCTCCCCTCTCCTCCTCCCCCTCTCCCCTCCCCCCATCCCCTCCCGTCCCCCCTCCCCCCGGGTTCAGGCAATTCTTCTGCCTCAGCCTCCTAAGTAGCTGGGATTCCAGGCACCGGCCACCATGCCCAGCTAATTTTTTTTTTGTATTTTTAGTAGCTGACATCCAGTCACTCCCATCCCCAGATGAAACTCCGCCTCTTTAATCAAAGCGCCCCTGAGAAACAGCTGCATTTGACTTCACAGTTTTGACCCGGCCCGGCCCGAGGGGATAGCTCTGCGGAATCAAGCGGATCAGGTTCTAGAGACGTTCTTGGCCGTCAACCAGCCACTGTCACTCTTGAACTAAGCTAACATCTCCCAGCCAGGCCGGGCGCGGTGGCTCACGCCTGTCATCCCAGCACTTTGGGAGGCCAAGCCTGGTGGGTTACTGGAGGTCAGGAGTTCAAGACCAACCTGGCCAACAGAGTGAAACCCCCGTCTCTACTAAAAATACGAAATTAGCTGGGTGTGGTGGTGGGCGCCTATCATTCCAGCCACTCGGGAGCCTGAGGCTGGAGAATCACTTGAACCCAAGAGGCGGAGGTTACAGTGAGCCAAGATTGTGCCGTTGCACTCCAGGCTGGGCAAAAAAGCACAAAACTCCATCTCAAGGAACAGAAAAGGTAAACCCAGACCTCTCCTTGTCTCTCCGGAACTGCAATTCATTGAAAAATGCCTCTTGTCCCTGTTTGCTGCGTTGGCTTCCCTTCTTACTGGTTGACACCTGGCTTTTCCTTTTTTTCTTTTTTTTTTGAGACGGAGTTTCGCTGTTGTTACCCAGGCTGGAGTGCAATGGCGCGATCTCGGCTCACCGCAGCCTCCGCCTCCTGGGTTCAGGCAATTCTCCTGCCTCAGCCTCCCGAGTAGCTGGGATTACAGGCACGCGCCACCATGCCCAGCTAATTTTTTGTATTTGTAGTAGGGACGGGGTTTCACCATGTTGACCAGGATGGTCTCGATCTCTTGACCTCGTGATCCACCCGCCTCGGCCTCCCAAAGTGCTGGGATTACAGGCGTGAGCCACCGCACCCGGCCTGGCTTTTCCTTTTAAAGTGTGGATATTATACACGTCTGGTCTTGGCCTTCACCGGTTTCCTGGCGAACAACATCTAAAATCCTTAGAATCTTCAGCGACGTCTTTTGTTTGCTAATGACATGGCTGGTGGCTGGCAGTCCCCAGGTACATTCAGGATGGGGGTCCTGTCGCTGGAAAGACCAAGTGAGGATTAGAGGGTGGAAATTTCAGCCCCACCCCGCACCCCTCACCCCCGACCCCTCACCCCTCCATCCCCAGCCCCCAGCCTCCAGGGAAGGGAGAGGGGCTGAGTGTTAAGTTGATCACCAGTGGCCAATGCTTTAATCAATCTAGTCAACATAATGAAATCTCATTAAAAACCTAAGAGAGGCCGGCACGGTGGAGGTAGGTGGCTCACCCTAGGTGAACAGTTCGAGGCCAGCCTGGCCAATATGGCGAAACCCCGTGTCTACTAAAAATACAAAAATTAGCCACACGTGGCGGTGCACGCTTGTAGTCCCAGCTACTCGGGAGGCTGAGGCAGGAGAATCTCTTGAACCCGGGAGGCGGAGGTTGCGGTCAGCTGAGATTGTGCCACTCCACCCAAGCCTGGGCAACAGTGAAACTCTGTCTAAAAGAACTGGGTTTAGAGAGCTTCTGAATTGCTGAACAGTAGAGGTTCCTGTGGGGTCCTAATAGGATAAGTAAGCGACAAGGAAGGGGTCGAGGCCAGGGAGGGCAGTTGTCCTGGGAGATGGCTAATCCCAGACACCTGCACGACGTCCTCTTCCCAAACACCTTCTGCCCCCAGTCCCTCCAGCAGGACCCTGTGAAACTTCCCTCCGGCCGGGCACGGTGGCTCATGCCAGTAATCCAAGCCCTCTGGGAGGCCAAGGCAGGTGGATCGCCTGAGGTCGGGAGTTCGAGACCAGCCTGACCAACGTGGTGAAACCCTGTCTGTACTAAAAATACAAAAATTAGCCGGGCGTGGTGGCACGCACCTGTAATTACAGCTACTTAGGGGGCTGAGGCAGGAGAATCGCTGGAACCTGGGAGGCAGAGGCTGCAGTGAGCCGAGATCATGCCACTGCACTCCAGCCTGGGCAACAGAGTGAGACTCCGTCTCAAAAATAAATAAATATATAAACAAAGACATTAAAAGTAAAATTAAATAGCCCAGGGCCAGCCAGCTGCATTGGCTCCACCTGTAATCCCAGCACGTTGGGAGGCTGACAGGGAGGATCACTTGAGGCCTGGGCAATGTAGGAAGACCCTCATCTCTTCAAAAAAGTTTAATTGTCTGGACACGGCAGTGCATGCCTGAGTCCCATCTACTCAGGAGGCAAGGCCGGAGGATCCCTTGAGTCACACAGGAGTTTGAGGCTGCACTGAACAATGATTGTGCCACTGAACTCCAGCCTGGGCAGCGGAGCGAGACTCTGTCTCAAAAATAAATAAACAAAACATTTTTTAAAATAATCAGTCAAACATTTCACTTCCCCGCTCAGAAATCTGGCTTCACGGATGAAACTCCAAATCCTCACTCACGGCTTCAGACTCTGTCTCTCTGAACCCACCTCGCGTTCGTTTTTTTCTTTTTAATTTATTTTGAGACAGGGTCTCACTCTGCTGTCCAGTTTAGAGTACAGTGGCCCTATCTTGGCTCACTGCAACCTCCGCCTCCTGGGTTCAAGTGATTCTTCTGCCTCAGCCTCCCGAGTAACTGGGATTACAGGCACGTACCACGGCGCCCAGCTAATTTTTGTACTTTTAGTGGAGACAGGGTTTCACCGTATTGGTCGGGCTGGTCTTGAACTCCTGACCTCAAGTGATCCCCCCGCCTCAGCCTCCCAAAGTGCTGGGATTACAGGTGTGAGCCACCACGCCTGGCCAACCACCTGTTGTGTTCTTTATTCTAGCTATTATGTATTTTCTTTATTTAATATTTCCACTGCATTGTTGAGGTTTTCTCCTTCCCTCCCTCCCTCCCTCCCTCCCTTCCTTCCTTTTTTGTTTTTTGAGATAAGGTCTCACTTTGCTACCAGGCTGGAATGCAGTGGCATGATCTCAGCTCACTGCAACCTCCGTCTCCCTGGCTCAAGGGATCCTCCCACCTTAGCCCCCCAGGTAGATGGGACCACAGGCATGCATCACCACGCCCGGCCTAATTTTTGTATTTTTCGGTAAAGACGGGGTTTTACCATGTTGCCTAAGCTGGTCTTGAACTCCTGGGCTCAGGCAATCCACCCACCTTAGCTTCCCAAAGTGCTGGGACTACAGGTGTGAACCACTTGCTGTGGCCACAGATTTCTTCTGTTTTTTATACTTATTCATTCTGCTTGGAAGGTGGTTATGGTATCTCCGTTTCTGAAGGTTTCTGAAATTCAGTTTCTGTTTTCTTTCTTTCTCTCTCTCTTTTTTCCTTTAACTTCGGTGGGCTATTTTTATTATTCTTTTACTTTTGTGTCTTGCTGATTTTTTTAATTGGGTGATTTGTTTAATTTTTGAAATGTTTTAGGTTCTGTAGTACGTGTGCAGATCCTGCAGGATTGTTGCTTGGTGGTTTGCTGCCTCCATCCCCCTGTCACCTACATCAGGCATTTCTCCCAATCTTCTGCCTCCGCAACCTCCCCACCCTCTGCTATCCCTCCCCTAGCCTCCCTCCCCTCAACAGATCCAACCCAATGTGTGATGCTCCCCTCCCTGTGTCCATGTGTTCTCATTGTTCAACACCCACCTATGAGTGAGAATATGCAGTGTTTGGTTTTCTGTTCTTGTGTCAGTTTGCTGAGAATGATGGTTTCCAGGTTTATCCATGTCTCTACAAAGGACATGAACTCATCCTTTTTTATGGCTGCATAGTA